ACTCCCGGCCACCTCCAAGCGCACTTTTCTTTCCCACCTCCATATCCACTATCCTACTCTAAATCTAACCCCGCCATCAAATTTGCCCTATACGAAAACCTCACTCTCGACTCTTTCCCCGCCCGTTTCCATCAGGGATCGGGCGGGGCTCACGCTCTCTTACTCCTTTCCCCTTCTGCCATAGCCCGCAGCTCCTCGCATGCACCCGGCGCAGAGTAGTGTCTCGGTTCATTCGCCTGTGTCTCCCTCCTTAGACTTCGATCCGCCCGCTCACTCAGCCCGCCAACCTTCTTCGCTGCCTACCATCCTCCACTCCCAGTCGCACGCACTCGAGATTACCACCTCGCCATCACCACCTCTCCCCCGTCTCGACTTGTGAATGAATCCGGACGCASATAGCGTCCAGGTGCATCCCCCTCTGCAGCCCATTCCCTCGTCACTGCGCCCTCTGCCTCARCGTTCCGGCTTGAGCATTCTCTCCAACAGGTAAGTCACCACCCCCGTTTCYGCCAGGTAAGTTCYCTCACTCTCCTCTCTCTAGTGCTGCRCTGCCTGTCCTCCCCCGCTGCTGCTAGCGCAGCGCTCGACACCCCCAATCGGCCTGGTCTCATTACCCGACAGTTCCTGTCACTCCGTTCCCCCGATACCGCGCAGTGCGGGTCCGACGGCACGTAAATATMAAGACCAAGAAGAGCGTYCGGTCATCGGACCTCGTCTTGATTTATGCKCGTCATCCTTACGCAGGGGCCATGCTAAACTTCTCTGTATCGTTCCAATTTTAACGGATGTCCCGAAGGACCATGCCTGGTCCGCGGAGACATCCAGCCCCWGCCCCCAGTTCCACCATCTGGGCTCAGACCCAGGCCTGTATTTCGACAGTTCAATGGTGTGCCCGCTGAGCCAGGCTCTCGGGTCCCGCACCACCTACAACTTTGCGTCCCAAAACGAGGCACGGTAACAGTAATAATAGAAGCGAGAAAAAGGAAATAAGAAAACAAAAGTTAATACGTGAAAAAAAAAAAAAAAAACAGATTGTCGGGGGAACCGGCGGGACTGCTGGCACCTCGAATCGGCGGGACCGCTGGCACCCCGATCGGACCCGCCGGTGTGCCCCCTAATTAAACCGAGGGGGATAGCCTCGCCGGACCCTCAACCCCTCAGGCTTCGCTCCACGCTACTCTGCTGCTGCTACGCCGGCGCCCGCTAGCCTCGATCCCCGAACCTCTGTAATAACAATCCAATGCCGTAACCTATAGAGCTAAGCCCAAACCAGATGCTATTAGGATCTAGACCTTATATGAAGTGGTACAGTTCTGCGTTTAGGGCCACGAAAGCGCCCTGAACCATTTTTCAGCCTGCGCCTCTCCATACGGCCGCCGAAAGTCCGCGCGGGCCTTGCAACCGTGCCGCAGCTACCCCTACTTTAGTCGTATCCCTCAGGTCCCACCATTTGAATCCGTCATAGGTTTATATATCCACGGCCTGCTTGATCGAGTAAATAAAAAAGAAAAAATAAAATACGGTCAGCAACCATGCCGACTTTTCAATCGCTAATCAAATTAAAAAAAAATCACGTGCGCCTCAAAGTCGCGCGCCCACACACTCTTTGATCTAGTCAACCATCCGGCCATCGTAACCACGCAAGCGCAGCCGCGCCTCGCGCGGTACACTTAACTCTAAGCCAAACTCATTTTTCTGTCGTTTGCAAAAACCAAGGTGGAGACCCTTGTAAGGGTATTCGCGCCGACATCGTCCTGACCAAGTCCATCTTGTGGGAAAGGGCTGTTGACGTCCATAGCAATAGAGACGCCGGACTTGCGAGGAATTGGCAAAGTTCGCAACTCGTCATAAGGATTGCGATTGCGAGTTTCTTTTTTATGAGTAATTTCGCAAGATTCACTATACTTTGTGGCATCGGGAACCAAGCCGACCCAATGGAAACAATGCCTCAGTTATACAACCGCGCGGTTTATTCCAAAGAGGCCGGTCAAGTGCGAGTCGTGGTACTCGCATAGAAGGCGAGTCCGAGGACATCGATCGTTGGGTACGTATAACAAGTTTTGTCTGTGCAAATGAAGAGAAGGTTAACAACAGTCGTATTTTTCATCACCACTTCATGACATCTTTCACCACTTCAGGATGCAACCTATCTAAACAAGTGGTTTTCAGGGTCTTCGAGCCTTTCACCACTTCATGACCATTTAGGTCTGAAAATCTTGAATGGTCCTGAAGTGGTGAAAGCTCTGAAGTTCCTGAAAACCACCTGTTTAGGCAGGCTGCATCCTCAAGTGGTGAAGGGTGGTTTTCATGGTCTTCGGACCTTTTTCCACTTTAGGACCATTCATAATTTTCAGACTGCCCAAAACTCTCACTTGACCACTTCAGGACACCCTTCACCACTTTCAGGATGCAGCCTGCCTAAACAGGTGGTTTACAGGGTCTTCGGACCTTTCACCACTTCAAGACCATTCAGGATTTTTAGACTGCCCAAAACTCCCACTTCATAATTTTTATTCCTGAATTTTCAGCTACCCGATAACCGTTTGTGTGCGAATGAAAAAGCAAGTATCCATTGGCGATGCAGAAATGCCTTGCCCACCAGGTCTCCAAAAAAAGTGCCTTATAGAGTGAAGAGTACTCTGGTTGGACCTAAGTAGTTGTTCGCATATAAATGCATATAAAGTAGGAAGACAAACGAACAATTTAACCGCTCACAAATCTCAAAATCAGATGTACCGTAATCGTTTCCTGCTCATTTTCTTAACAAAAAAAAAACAAGTTCAAAGTCGACGGTCGTAGATAAAATAAAATGCTAGCCTTGCCTCTTTCATTTTTATTTATTTATTATTATTATTATTATTTTATTATTATTATTTTTTTTTTCTCTCTTTTTTTGTGTGCCCATTAATTCATCTGTGCATCTCTGTGCACATGTGCGTTTAGGTGTTTGTGCCTGTCTACGAGTGTGGGAGTATGTGGGTGGGTGCGTGCAGGCGAGTGGGTGCATAGCTGTTTTATAAAAAATAAGTCGTTTTTTATCATAAGTATTATAATTTGAATACTCATAAGTCCAACACCATTGATGTCCAATTACTTTTATAATAATTGTAGGATTTATTACCTCATTCATTAAATATAATAAGAACAGATTATGGTATTGCAATGAACATTAGTACAATATTAGGAAAAATAAGCGATTTCTATAGTGGTTCCATGCACAATTATCTTTGAAATTGAGTTTTCTCATAGTAAAAGTACCATAAAACATGAACCAACGTCCATAACACGAAGATTAAAATCACCATAAAAAAAAATCATAATATAGGATAGGGGTCAGTGCAAAACGTATACCCTTAGAACCACATGTGACAGTTTCCTGTCGTGCCGCTCGCCCCCCAAAACCTTAACCTTATTTGTGGGCTTGGGAAGGGAAGTTGACAAATAGCTTCGCTTTGTGCCTTCCGACTCTTACTTGTCCGGAATCAATCTCATGTGAGGTTGAGTTTTGATTCCCAACCTTGCATTATGCTCATCCAATGTTTCACGTCTATTAAAGAATCGCAGATGCCTGGAAAAACACTAGAGGTGTATTTTGCCTAGACTGAGCTCTTCGTGCCTTCGACGACCTTAGTGAGCAAAATAACAAAATAATCTGCTGGCAAACATCTTTTGCCTGAAAGTATTGTTGAAATTTGCCACCAACTTTGGGGGGGGGGGGGGGGGG